AATTTCAGCCCTCCTGTTCGAGTGGAAGCGTCCGTTCCCAATTTTCCATGAGCAAGTAGCAATAAAACCAGCACAGAAATTTTGTGTTTGTACAAAATTAATTGAAATACTCTGTTCAGTCACTGCCTCTCATTAATTGTTGATCCAGACATATGCAAGACAAATCTATCTCTGATATATTTGAAAGTGTATTCAGTAACACCTCACACAGAAAGCAAGAAAGATGCTTTAGGAATGGCCACAAACCTATAAATGCAACAGATCCCCTGGGATCCACCAGTTCAGCCTTGATGGATGATTTCCGCTTAGGACTTCAGAGACACGAAAGTCAAAACCATGAAAAAGAAAAGTCAAGCCCTTTTTAAATGTGACTTTTAGGGGAAAAAAAAGTAGAGAAAATCCTTTTCTTAACCTTGCATTTGCTAATTACTTAAACAATGTAGTTCTGTAACAACTGCTAGTAGTATTTTCTTCAGGGTTTCCTTTGGGTTTCCACATAGGCCAAACAGGATTGCTGTACGTAAATGAATGCTTTTACTGACAGCTACAGACAGTATGAGCTAGAACCAGGAACAAGACACATTCTAAACCCTCACCCTTACTCTATTTCACGTGCATGTGAACCCACGCCTGTTCAGCTCTGCGTTCGGTGCAGTTCTTTCAGAGAACTCTCACACTAATTTCCAGGTTTCTTTGAAATTCTGCATTTTGATAAGTCACACCCACTCACTTGCAAGTAACATCTATATTTTTACTAATATTTTATGGAAGGATCACATTTTTATCCGAATTAGTGAACAGACTCAGGTATGCTAGATTCATATGGAATTAATAAAGTGTCTCTGCTGTTGACTACAGCTGAATTCTCATCGTACACAAAGGACCGAGACCCAAACGTGAACCGTTGAAGCTTAATGTAGGGTTTCAGGTAGAGACTGGCCAAAAAGGGCTAGTGTATGTTTACTCACATGAATAGTACTACGTGCTATTTTCTCTGTTAATCTAAACAGCAAAATAAAAACAAAAAACCTCAACTGAATTGGTATTTGGTATTATCTATTATGGAAACTTTTTAATGTTGCAATTGCAGTTTCTAGAGGACAGGACAAGCTGTAGTTCTGAGGCAGCCTTGACTTTCTGCAAAACCTTGAACATATATTGAGAGCAACATGCAAGCATAGAGGAAAGTTCTGATGTCATCAAGGACAGAGAAATCTGTACTAATTTTCAGAAGGAAAAGGATTTTTTGAAGCATTCTCCAAAACATGGTGATAGACTTTCTGTAAAAGTGTATCTCCACAACTGTTCAGAAATTAAGGCAGTTTCGACTGTCACATGCACTCATTAAATCCAGTGACTCTGAACGTAACTTGGGCCAGATGTACACTGTTTTGGAATGCACAAAATAAATCAATACACAATTACCAGTACGGAAGCAGTGGACAGACTGCATAAACACACATATTATGGACATTCAAAGGAATCCTTGTCAAAAGTTGATCAAATTAACATCACTAAATAGTATCCATTCAGAAAAAGTGCACCAAACCCAAAGGAGTTGCTCTGAGCTTTCCACCTGTGTGGCAGCAGAACTGGCTGAGCGAGCCTCGTTAATAACCTGTATGAGATGAGGAAGCACAAAGACACGTAATTTTGGGTGGCAAAGCCAGCAAGGTGGGCATGGAGCACGGGAAGCTCTGGGACAGGTCTGATGGCAGTGCCAGCCAGCCCTGCCAGCTCTAACGCACCTTTACTATTAAAGAACCTCTGCTCTGCAGGATCGGGTGGGCTTGCTCTGTATTTTTGCTTAAGAAAAATTTCCACCTTTTGTGTATTCATCTTTCCCTGCCGAACACTGCCACTTATGTCCCCACTGAGAGGTTCGGTGGCATTACTGGTTATTCCCGTAACTAAAACTTCCAACATTTTAAGGCATGTAGACTTAGCAGCAAGCAGAGGCAAGACCCACCTGAGGTACCTCTTGCTATCCCAGGAGGACAAACGACAGGACCGTGGCAGGGGACGACAGAGACAGTGGGGACAGAGGGAGAACACAGAAAGCACAGGAGGGAGGAAGACCTCTGCTATGTGTAAAATTCAGTACCGTGACCCCCTTCCCAGAGCTCCTGTGGTACTGGAAGATCACTGGCACTGGTTCAGCTCCTGTAACGCATTTCCGTAGTAAAGCCCTCTCCAAAGTATTGCTGCGGTTTTGGTGGAGTAGAAGGTAAAAGCTCCTGATACCCCGTCCTGGTAACTCCAGTCTTAGCATTGCGTAGTTCCATGTATCTCAAAGGAGCGACACTGCTGGGATTCAGGCTCAGTTGTTATTGCATCTTGTTTGCCTCTGCTCTCTGATCCCCTGCTCTCACTGTGGCCGGCATCGGAGGGGCCCCACCAAAAGCTCCCAGGTGTGGAAGGGGCAGCTCTGCTGCTCCCAAACATCAGCAGGGCTCCAAACCAAAGTACAGACACCCTGAGAAGTGCTCCTGCCTGCTTCCTCTTGTCCAGGAGAAGGATGCAGCCTTCATGACAGTAAAATGCAAATAAGGTTATTCTACATTTGACGAGTAGCTTCATTCTAACATTATGATTTAACATTAAACACAGCATTTGTGATGAAAACCCAGACTGGTTTGACTTACAGTGCAAGGCCAGAGATGTGTTATTCATGAAATTCGTTAACAAAGAGTACATATTTCCTCATATTAATAAAATTACAAATGGCTGCTCCAAACCTTAGGGACAATTTTTGAATTTTATTTTCATAAGATTTTCGTAAGACTATAGAAGCATGCTTGAGAAAAATGTGCAGAGAAGCTGAAGAAAACCCTTTACAACACTACCACAAACCTTCTAAAAGAGACAAATTTTACAGTCAGTTAAAGCAGATTGATTATCATTACAGGTTTAACATTGTCAAATGCAGTCGGGAAGACTAAGCGAGAAGAGGAGGCTGTTCTAATTCTCATTCTTATGAAGTAAACATTTCAGACTTTAACAATTCCAGGCAATCAGAATTTGCTACTGGAGAAGATCTTATGAGTTTGCATTCTTGGTGAGTCAGGTGGAAACTCCCCCATGAAGGCTGTGAGATGATACTCCGGGAGAGGGGGGAGTCGTTTTGTTTTTGCTAGCTTGGTCTGTAGATCTTCAACCTTGGATTTAAAACAAAACAAACAAAAAAGAGACCGGATATATAAGTATTAATTAAGAACAGAAAGTATTGCATATGTCTAATGGGCCAGATTTTTACCTGCTCCTTCTGCAGCCTCCAATTGTACACACATAAAGCTGTACACATACAACAGCTAGAGTACACACTTAAATTGACTTGTCCATCCATGTTAACTGTGCAAGCATAAGAGTGTGCCCGGATTTACCTCTCCAGTCCCATGCACTTGCTAACATTTAAATATGAGCATGTTTTAAAATAGCTGAAATGCAAACAGGGGTTTTTAATCCCATTAGTGCAAATACATACATAGGTCAGTGTGTAGGAATAAAGAAGCTATCGATTACAAAAGAGCTGGAAGTATTAGAGCTCAACAGATTTTGGAAGTAATAAACAGTAACCACATGTACTACTAAACTTATTACTAATAAATATATTTGTGAATAGGCTCAACTCAATATTGGTATGTAAATATATTTTTTACCAGATTAAGATTCTTATTAATTCACTTAGATATTTCACAAAATTGTAACAAACTTGAAAGTTGATGGAAATTCAGTAAAGCTCTTAACAAGTCATGAAAATATTCTGCTTTTTAGAAATACAACCGGAGATTTTAAAACATTGTTTCTTTTGCTATTCAGTATGTTCTGAATACTGTGGAATACAATACAGTCATATTCAAAATACAATAACCTTGGGGGTTCCAAAATAACTTAAGATCATCATACCAAGTTTACACACACTTCATACACAAAAGCTCAGAGTGAAGTCCATGAGTACATCTTTGCAGGCTTTGGCTCCTGACAGTCCATTCCACATACCTTTTTTAAAACAACTTTTAAAAAAATGAAAACAATTAAGCTAATAGAATTACATCTTTCCACTGTTTGAAGCGTGCACTCTGCAAAATGTGCTCCTTTGTGCCAGCATGAGGCACCACGTATTAATGGCATGCTGTGAAGCTGGAAGTCACCCAGATTTGGTGAATGAACTCAAGCTCCTCAAGTCCCCCAGTTCCTCAGCTGCCATCCAGTAATGCATTCCTTTTTGGGTGCTAATTGCCACTTTTGAAATATTAGCAGGCCATTACAGACAGAGCAGTTCCCCTGCTCTGCAAGGCTCGTAACTGTGAGTACGCAGCAGTTTGTGTAGTCATTTCTGTATCAGAAATAGTGTGGCCAGCAGGAGTAGGGAAGTGATCGTGCCCCTGTACTCGGCACTGGTGAGGCCGCACCTGGAATACTGTGTTCAGTTTTGGGCCCCTCACTACAAGAAGGATGTTGAGATGTTGGAATGTGTCCAGAGAAGGGCAACGAGGCTAGTGAAGGGTCTGGAGAACAAGTCTTATGAGGAGCGGCTGAGGGAACTGGGGTTGTTTAGCCTGGAGAAAAGGAGGCTGAGGGGAGACCTCATCGCTCTCTACAACTCCCTGAAAGGAGGTTGTAGCGAGGTGGGTGTCGGTCTCTTCTCCCAAGTAACTGGAGAAAGGACGAGAGGAAATGGCCTCAAGTTGCGCCAGGGGAGGTTTAGATTGGATGTGAGGAAAAATTTCTTTACTGAAAGAGTGGTTAAACTTTGGAACAGGCTGCCCAGGGAAGTGGTTGAGTCACCATCCCTGGAAGTATTTAAAAGATGTGTAGATGAGGCGCTTAGGGACATGGTTTAGTAGGCATGGTGGTGTTGGGTTGACGGTTGGACTCGATGATCTTGGAGGTCTCTTCCAACCTTAATGATTCTATGATTCTATGATTCTACATACTTTTTTTTGCAGCTAACCAGAAGGCATTTTGCAAGCCAACCACTGTGCTACTGAGCACCTGGGGATACTGATTAAGGAACGGGATCTCCTAAGCAGTGTCAAGACTCTCAAATTTGGGAAACCAAAGGGCAGATTGCTAATGGAAACAGTAAAGGCAACCAAGCCCATCTTGAACTGCAGCCGCATGCCACCCCGTGACAGCAGAGGACCCTCCCAGAGCCCACAGTATGAGACATGTGGAGCCCCTATGGAGTCCACTCCTAAACGCGAGGGTGATGTTGTCATACATGACTCTTACACCTACCTTGAGGGACGAGTTCCATTTTGGGAGCGTGCAGCTTGTGCTGTGCTGCGCGTGACGTTGTGGAACGTGAGGGACGTGGGTAATTTTAGAACAGTGTCACGATTTCCTGGCATAGGGACAGACGCTTTGCACTATGTATGACTCGTTTGCCCTGTTATGTATAGCAGGGAGGCTGTGCTTTCAGTGCATTAGATCACTGTGGTTTTGAGGCCAAAAGATGCTTTTAATGAAATCAGGATTTCCCCCCCGCAAAAGTACACATACTGTAAAGTGGTGCAAACACAGCAAAAATATAAGGCTATGAAATCCATGGCCTTTACGTGATCAGTTCGCACAGCTACAGCCATGTGTGCGTTTCCAGTATTTCTATCCAGTGACTGCCAGGACTTCCCAGGACCTGGAAGCCCGTATGTAAGTGAAACGTTCAAACAGAGGTGACTCCCAGCAGGCACAAGTTCTCACTGCTGCGTGAGAAGGAGCTGCAGTGGAATAGTCTTTTGATGGACTGCTGCTCCTCTTCGGAGTACGTAAAGAGTTTTGGAGCTGTGTCATATTCCTTCTGCATTATAAAAGATTTTTGTTTATTACTGCAATATACTTCTTTACTGGGAGAAGGCTTTGCCAAATTTTCTACCAGTCCTACTACCTCTACACATTAATGAAAGTGATTTCTTGCTTGATTAGAATGCACAATACATACACAATGCACCACGGCATTCAAAGAACCATATAGAGCATTTGTACTTGCTCTGCCCTCAGGAAATGTATTTCTAAGACAGTTTGCTTTTTTGAATCTGCCAAAATCATCGTTTGAGCACATTACACGGAGGGAACGACCTGGCAGACAGAAGAGAAAGGAGACGGGACAGTGGAGTGAGAGGCCCCGCTGCCGGCTTGCTGGTCCCCGGGGAGAGCGCTCCAGCATGGCTGCCCGGCAATCGCCATCCCAGCCCTGCGGAAGCCAGTCAGTATCAGCAGCAATCTCATACCCATGGGAAACAAAAAACGGTCCGGGCTCTTGAGGCAAAACTGATTTTGAGCCGAGTGTCTTGATTATGCACAGCAAACAAACTAAATGCAAAGCACTGACTCATTTTATTGCAAGATATGTAACTTCATTTTGACTAGCTATGCAGTCTGGAAAACTGAAGTAATACTTTCAGTCAAGGCAAAATAATTCCTAATCAAGTTGCAATAAGCAAATAAATTTTACAGCTACACCAACTTTAATGACAGCTCTCAATCTTCTCTTCCCAATCAGGACACTTATTGATGTCCCAAGGTATAGATTTATGAGTCCTCTTTCCAACTGTAAATGGATAATTTTGAATTTCAACTTTTTGTTGTATTAACCACTTGCATTGAATGGCTTGTACAGCACGTGATAAAAACCATCATCCTTGTCTTCTGAGTTTTACATTAATCTTTGGCCATCTTTTATGCTTTTCTTGGTTTTTGTTTTTTATCTTAGAATTTTGGCTTTGCTTTTGGAAGACTGAAAGCGCTACAGATGTTTATGTCTGTTTATGTATGTGCATGTTGTGTACATGTACACATACATACACACACACACAATTTTAGCATGAGCAAAAATACGTTTAATTTTTAACAATTTAAAAATATTTGGTACCTGAGATCTTTGTGAAATTAACGAAGTGTCAAATTAACAACTGTTCATCAGCACAGAGCACTGTTTACTGTACTTCCAGAGAAAGAGAAGATACTCACTGTCTCAATGTCTTGTTTTGCTTTCTTCATTTCCATTTGGGATGTTCCTTTTAATTTTTCCCCTCTTGCTTTCATCATTTGCCTGTGCTGTTTGACGCACCATTCCAGTTTCTCTTCTCTGAGGGATCTAAGTAAACATGGTAAAATTATTATTTCAGTTGCTTTTTATTCATTGACCCTCCTGTTTCCAGTTTCAAGTATTTTAACACATTTCTGCCAAAATATAAACAGAGACACAGGGAGCAAAACGAGCAAATGCTGTGGCTTTGCCTTTGTTAATATGCACTTTGTGGTGTATGCACCACATGGTGGTCTTGCACTGCTGTATCTTACATTGGCTCTTACACTTGCAAATCAACCCCTTGCCTCTCTCAGTGCGTAAGCTCGGTGGTGCTCTGGGGTTATGTCAGAGTTTGGTAGTGCAGCAGACTGCTTTTGGTGGGTCCTTCGCACAGCGGCTGTAGAAGCTGGAAGACTTTCAGTGAACAAGGCAGTGGAATGAAAAAGTTGAAAAGGAGAGATGTACGGTCGGGGAAACTGAATGAGGTCCTGTAATTCAAGGGAGGAAACGCGGATGGGGAGTTCAGCACAAGCAGTAGGTGAAACTAAATGAAATGCTGCAGAAGGCATGCCAACTAACAAAACAAGAATTTGAAGGGGCAACTGAGCTGTATCCCGTGTAAGTGGGTGATGCCATCTACAGCATATGCAAATGACTTTCTGACCGTCTTGCCCGTAAATTTAAAATCATGTTGGGCAGCAGAAATACAAAAAAGAGTACTACAGAATGGCCCTTTCTAATGCACTAGGGATATTCATGCAGGTATGAAAGCCAATAGAAAAATAGGACTGAAATATCAATGACTGCTAAATAAATTTCTTTACTGCACTTTACTTTTTGTGCTCATCAGACCTGTCTGGCCATAGCCGTGATATCTGTAACCACCTCTCCTCCATATTACGAGATAGTATAATATAGTGTATTTTTCCTTAAAGATGATTGATTAAAATTTTCCTTGATTTACAGACATCTGTTTAGTAGTTATGCCCTGAGATTATCAACTCGAACATGCTTGTACAGTTAGTCAAGTTACAGCCTCGTATAAAGATACACTAATTTTAGAAGTGCAAAATGGAGCAAACCAACACATCTTGTAATCGGAAAAACAAACAGAACATTTCAAGCTTTCCCCGTATACGTTAAAATCAAGTAGAAAAAAACTCTGAAACTTAATTTGAATACTTTCTAAAAATAGCATCAAACATTTCACAGGCTCTCAAGAATTTGGGACATGTTCATACTTCTCCCCTCTCTCCTTTTGGTTTTTTTTTTAAAAACTCTCGTAAAGAAGAATGATTTCAAGTATTTTCCAGCCCAGCTGACAGACTAGAACTGAGACAAGTATGTAAATTTATACTCCAGGATGAGCCTGTCAAGGTGAGGCCATCAATCAGTTGAGATTTGTTTAGTTCATTTTGCAAAAAGGACCAGAGATACTCAATTTCTAGTCAACCCTCTGGCTCACGCTCACTGTATTAAGATGATATAGAGATACTATAAAATAGTCGGTTTATTATTAAAATAAATTATTACTATAATAAAGTGAGAATCGCTTTAACAGCATGCTTCTTGTCTTGGTATTGCATTGTGCTAGTGATTACCTTTTTTTTTAAAAGTAAGCCTAGCATTAACTGTTTTTTAAATTTCTCTTTTAGTCAGTGTTTGTTGATTAGGGTGCAATATTTTTCACTTCACAGGATAGCAAAAAAGAAATGAATACTTTCATACTAACAAAATTAAATGGAAGTCATCAATAGCATTACATAGAGACAGTTTATAATGTTATCTTTTTAGCACTCACCTTGTAGTTTCATCTTTTACTCTCAGCAACCTTTCTTCCATTGTTTCAGGTGTACGGTCCTGTTTCTCAGCTCCCTCTTTCATGGTGTAGTAACTGATGTTATCAGTAGCATGTGATGCACTTTTTGGTATCTACAGCAAAATATAATGCTAACAAACTATATGGAAATGATAGCAATTAAAAACTGGTTTTGTATTGAAATTAAAAATGTTGTAAAGGCCGTAGTTCTTTGAAGTCATGGTTAGTGACCAGTGACTGTTGGGGAAACGCTGTGACTGGCGTTGGGTTACCGACCCTCCCAGACAGCTCAGGGCCGGGGTGTCTGGGCAGCCAGCAGCAACTCACAGCGAGCACCACACGATGCTGTAGAACACTTCAGGGACATGCTCTTAGGAAGACACTTTCCATATGTTTTCCCACTTGTCACACAGCATGAACATGCTTCCATTTCTGTAAGAGGGTTTAATACAGAGTCCAGTAAATCAAAAATCAAAGCTGTGAGAAGACTTGGCTTGAACACCTTTTTTTTTTTTTTTTTTGTTAAAAACAAATTGTCTTCCTCTTTATGCAGTTTTCTTCTTAAAGAGAAATGCTACCCCTTTTTTTTTTTTTTTTTTTTTAGTAAAATAATAATGATGTTGTGGAGGCCGATGGGAGTTGCATAATGACTGTGCTCATGAGTTCTGCTAAGGCTACAATGGCTGAAGGCAGAGTCCTATAAATGAATTCTGCATCTTGTATGCCTGTATTTTTACTGCCTTCAATTAAGTTGTAACATTCACAGATGAAATGCAGTATTTGTTTTGTATTTACTTACAAGAGTCTTATTTCCCCAAGATCTGGGTGAAAAAAACAGACAGATAAAACAAATCTGTTTAAATTATTTACATTCAGATTAATGCTGATTCTTTACATAAACTGCTATCATAAAGTGAAAAACTTAAAAATACTGCTTAATGACTTAAGAACAAGCCATGCATACCAAAGCAGCATCCACCCTCCTGCGAGGGGTCAGTAACCGTGCCATCCAGTTACACCTTAAGCTCCTAAGAGCTCATAAAACTTGCTGCACCAACACGTCTATCTGTGTGGTTTGTTCTTCTCCCGGACTTTTACAAATCTATTCTAGCTAAATTAAACACGTACCTGTGCAGTTCAGGAGTTTAGCAACCCGCCTTAGGGTGCCATGACATTTTACACTGCTTGGCTTACACCACCTTAAGGCTGTTTTCTCTGAAACACTTTTAAAACCAGTTGGTGTTTTAGAGGAGGCGTTCGCAGCGAGGACTAGACTTGGGTGAAAAGCAAGACACGTCAGCAGCAGTGTCTGGCCTGCAGATTTGCTCACAGAGAACCGAGTTTCCTTTGTTGGTATGTAATAGGATAGTTCAGCAATCATTACGAAGATTACGTGAATTTTATGCCTAGTAGAAGCACAGAATGGTTTTATAAAAGGTACTCAGGTCTAAAGATATCAAGGTGGTGGCAGGCATGACAGCATGCAAAGTTTAGGACCAAAAATAGGGGAAAAAATTGGGAAATTTATAGATATACTTTCAAATCTAGAATACTGTACTACCAGTAATTGTAATTGGCAACATATTCTATCTTTTCAAATTCTGTCCTATCTTACTGTTTTCCAGGTAGATATGCATTTACCTTTACTTATAGCTGAAAGAGGCATTTGCTTGATCTCATATTACTGAAGAACAGGAAAATTACTTTCACCTGTAACTTCAGCATCACACGTTTAGTAGCCCACAGGAGAGAGCTATCCTAATGGCACGTGCAGCTGTAATTCGTAATGATACCCAAGCTTCAAGAACATGGTTCAATGGCATAGAATTGCATTCTGAGTTATCAAAGAAGTTGAAGAGCAGCTTGTGGTGGTCAAGTTCATAAAACTGCCATCATTCCATTCTGGGACCACTAACCCAAAACCTTCACTGATGTGGCAGCATGGCCCTTGGGTATTACCTGAACTGATAAGCAGAAACAACTGAAGATGTTTTGGCAATATTTTTTCCATTTAACTAAAGTCAATTTTGTGGAAAAGTATCCGTCTTAAAAATGTGTTACTGAGAAAGCATACTTAACGTGTTTTCTCACATACTGGCTGTGTACGCGTAGTGGCAGCACCCTGGAAGTCCAACGCTTGTCTGCAATGCAAGTAACAGATCACCAGAGCCTGGGAAAAGGGAGGCCAAGTGCATGTTTTCTAATTACGTTAGCCAAATCTGGGGAGCAAAAGTAGGCAGGGCAATAGGGCCATTTGGTAAGAAAACAGTAGTTCCGGGAGAGAGGGTGGGAAGAGGCTCAGAAGAGCCAACACATTGTATTTTGGTTACAGAAGAAGGGCAGCTTCGTTGTCCTCCTCTGCCACAGTGAAAAAGCAGCTGGCAACCTGCCCTTACAGACTTCTGCCAGATCTTCTGACCACTGGACTGCACAGTCTCTCGCTCTTCATATCAGAGGATATCCAGTTGTTTATAGAATACAGCTTTAGTAGGAAAGACTGACAGATACTGACTTGATAGCCTTGTGGAGTCACTTGTGGAAGAGCTAAGTCAAAGCCCCACCTCCACCTTCAACTTCTCACATTCCCAGAAACCTGGTCCTTAGCACTTGGTTGTAGGATTAGGCCCTTCCCTCAGCATTTTCCAAATAAAGCTACAAAAAAAAGAATTTGGTTTTGGTCTGCCAGGTTGAATGCCTTTAAAAACTCAAAACTATTCTGTGAAGCCAAAATATTTCCCAGACAAACCACCTTACCTATACGTCAAGTTAATAAATTGCCAAGGTTTTGCACCAAGAAAAATTATTGCGGTAGATTTGAAATATTTTATAGGCACTTCATTTTTCTCAGTGCAAAAGCTTACCTCCAAACTGGCTCACAATAAAACTGCCAATTATATTTTAATAGTATGCTTCTGTAACCGCGCTGCTGCCAAGAAAGTCAATCAACTAACAGAAGGAGAATGCTATAGAACAAATCCATTTCCCGAACTATCCCTTATGACATTATCAATTAAGGTGAAGACAGCAGAAATGACATGGCACGCTCATGTTGATTTGACACATACACAGAAAAAAGAGTATTTACTTTTGGGAAAGTCAAAGTATGCAATGGCAACCACAAGCAACCATTACTCACCTATCCATGCCTTTATCACAGTTACTCAAAACTAGGACTCTAAATCCAAGACAATCCCATAATTTTAGGAAAAATATTTTAAGTTTTATTAAGTAAGGGTAGCTGCCTTGTGTTTTTTTCCCCCCATTTCAACATGAACAATTTGAAAACTAAATTCTTTAGGGTTAAATAAAGGAATATTCTCTGTAACACTCAAGGAATATTAAAACTGCTTCTAACAAGATGATCAGAGAACAAAGAAATACACTAAACATGAGACCAAAAATTAAAGATTGTTATATAAAAATATGAGAACGTGTTGCAAAGCTCTTATTAATTTCAGTATTTATTAGGTATTAATGTAAACTATAGTAACACAGGAGCATAACAGTAAGTGCCTCAGTCTGTATGTGGTCCTATAGTGCCATCCCGTGTTCAACACGTGTACACGCAGGTATCTACCCTCAAGAACACTTCAACTCACAAAGCATTTATGTCCTGTATCATTTATGCCATTTTAAACCCATTGTTTGTTATCGGTGTGTGTGTGTATCACTTATACCATTGTAAGTACCTAAATATGTTCGGTTTGGGTTTTTTGGTTTTTTTTTGTTTTTGTTTTTTTAAGAAGAAAAAACTTTTACAGGAGAAATTCAAGAATTGTTTTCTGTGAGTGAACACATTATTCTCCCCGTTTATGTGGGAACATGGAAGAGAAAAATGAGGAAAATTTAAATGCATCACATAACAATATACTTATTTCTTCTCTTGTCATTCAAAATTCTATTCTATTCTATGCCAACCAAATTTCTGTAGTCCTAAAAAACAATCATCGAGTTGGCCAAAACAAAGACCCTCATACACAGAGAAAGCAGACTGCACAGCTTCAACAAGGTAAGCGAAACCCCCGGGAGCTGTTATCCGTCAGGAAAGTTCTCAGGGCTTCA